TCAGGCATTCGTCCGTTTAAATAATGAAATCGAAGAAACCGACATTTTTCTGCCCATTGGTCAATTTTTTATCAATTTTTAAGCATTTTTTTTACTCGATTCAAAAGCAATTTTCTGTGCGAATTTTTTTTTAAATTGAAAAACGAAATAAGATAGTAAATTTGCAATTTACAAGAATGCTAAGCTTTAATTGGAATTCACCAACCTTTGGAGGTAATTTTCTAGTTAATTTACTTCTGACAGCATGCGATCCCCACAAATTTCAATTGCAAAAATATCTCGACTTCTGCTCAAGATATAGCGAACACCCCCCCGCCTCAGAAGCAAGACAAACTAACCCGCTTCAAGATATACTACCTATAGCTCCATGTAGCCAAAAATATTGACGAGCGCCTGATTCCACCGTGTCATGACACATTTTACTCAAAACAACGACACGATCAGGCGCTGTGGCCTCAAGGACCGTTGGGTTTTTACCTCTTTTAACTCTTTTAGCACGCGCATTTTGCATGTTTTTGTTATGAGTTTGAGTTAAGAGAAGCACAATATTAAGGACGCAGCGATGGTCATTAAGTGCTGGTCAAAAAAATGAGAAAGACAGAAATAACCAATGTTGAGGGAAAGTAAAGAAGAAGAATATTAATTAAGGAGCACCTTCCAACCACCCGCATTCTGTGTATTTGAAGATCTTAATATTATTTTGGTGTACTTTAAAAGAAGAGACATAACTTCCTTATTCATAGATTATCTTATATTTCAATTTTTTTATCCCCTTTTTCTGAGCCTTAAAAAGACAGACAACACAGTATAATTCCATGCATGCTATCAACAATGCAAATTCGTGTGTTCTGATTTGTGTGGGATGGTTAGAAAAGTGCAGCACCACTGGCTTTGGTCTGCTGTTGAACAAATGTTTAGATTTAGTTTTAGTAAGAGTTTTGCAGCACTTTCAAACACAATAAGGTCATAAAATGAGTGTTGAATATTAGAGGTGTTACACGAGAGTAACAAAAACAAAAAAGGAGGAGAGTTCAGAACGACATATTATATTTGTAGGATAAAAGGAGCAAACCTCACCAGAGTACCATCCAACCACTCGCAGATCCGAAGTATGTGTCCGGTACACCGACAAAGAGTTAAGGTGAATGGTTGGCGGGTGCTCTAGTGTGCTTTGCTTCTTCATACCTATGAAACATCTATCGTCCCTATATGCCCTTCTTTTTTATGTTTGTCACTCTCTTGTAACACTTCTAATCTTCTGGCGCTCATATGACCTCATACAGTTGCGAGCTCCGTTAAACCTTTACTAAAACTAAACTAAACCCGGTCTAGAGCAGCCATTGGCGGTCAAGGGTCTCCACTCAATCCTGTTGTAGTATTTAACTTGGCCTTCTTCAGAAAAGCTGCAGTAGCGTGTCTATTTCCAGTCTTTTTTACTTTTACTTTTATCCGCCGCTTATACCCTTTTGGGTGTCGCAGGAAGAAAGAGACGTTTCTCTGTCGCCAGCCGGAGAGTTAGGGTCAGGAGAATGCCGTGGGTGGTTAATGTTTCCTGACTCCATCTATCTATTTCCAGTTGCCCAAGAATAATAATAGCATTCTTGTATTTTGTTCTTGGTCAGCGCTTTGCCCTTTCTCCCATCACTCTTAATTAAGGCGATATCCAAGACACATGTGAGAAAAATAATAAAGCCAAAAACATTCGTTTGTCAACTCATTATTAAGTTTTTATTGGGTATCGATGAAGCTTAGCTTCACTAGTCGTGGATCATTCTGTTTTCTTCTACTTCCATGAAACTTTCAGCATTTTTGTGCAAAAATGACCTTCAAAACATTTTGGTACAAAAATGATCTTTAACAGAACGAAAAAACAACAACAACCCAATCACACCCCCCCTCCCCAACAAACAAAATAAAACAGACTACAAAAAAACAACAACAAAAAACCCAAGACAAAACATCCCCTCCCTAAAAAACAACAACACATAGATCTAGATCTACAACCCCCCCCCAAAAAAAAAAAAAAAAACAAAAAAAAAAAAAAATAAATAAAATAAAACAAAACCACCAAACAACCAAACCAAACAAAACCCCAGCATATAGGCCTAGCTTACAACTCTCTCCCAGAACGAACCGATATATATATCGCATAGCCCTGCCAAGATTTTTAGGGTTCTCGGGGACATTGTCTATGGGAAATGTGGGAGGCTGTTGTCAAAAGACACTTGGACTTTGTTGAAACCGTCCATGATGACAGTGCTGTCGGTTTCTGAAAGAAAGGAAAGTAAAATCATTTTTTTTAAATGAGCGAATTCAGAGGAGCATAAGGTATCTTACTGGCTTTGATCTTTCTGTGTTACTCTGTTAAAGGTCTTCGTTTGAGCCCGGCGTAAGTCCAGATTATATTGTCGACTAAGTTCGTGTTGAACTCGCTTGATTTAATCATCAGTTAAGTTGATCTTCAATTTCTCGGGTCCCAGCACCTCTTCTTTACAGACCCCAACGGTTCAGTTGAACTTCGGATGAAATGATCTTTTTTCACTCCCCTGACGACATCAACTCATCTGTGGTCGGCTGGTTATGCAATACCAAAGACTCTCAACTACCAGTATTGGAGAATCTTTGGCAATACTGTACTGTACTCGTAACAAAGCTTACCTATTTTGGGGATGACGTCATTCAGAACTTCGCCATTGGCTGCCGTCATCCGGACGTTGATTGGTCCGGCTGGCCACTCCCCTTGGTTCATGACCTCCCAGTAGCCATCCAGGGTGTGCTTGGGGGTCACCCAGTCCTTACCTTTCTTGAGCTCAAGTGAGGTGATCGGAATTCTGGTAGAACGATATAAACAGTGAAATAAAGATTCTATTATAAAATAATTATGTTGCATGAATTATAAAGGTGCGTCCTCCCTCTTTATTCTCCCATTTTTGTTAATTTCTATTTATCCAGCTTTATCCTAGCAATAAAAGGTAATATTACACGTATTGTGTCAAAGAGCGTCTCTTTACTTAAACTGAAACCAAACTAAATAATCTTGTATCCACGACTTTTCTTTTGATGGCTCTAATGTTATTTTTAAAATAACAATAACATTTAGATCATTTAGGAGGTGGGCTTCTATTCTGCCTGTCAGAACCAACCCAAGCTGCTTGAGAGGGATACAGCATCCTGGCTCAAAGACCGAATTACTCGATTAATTAAAATCCGCCCCACTCGGAAATCGAACTGTTCAAGTAAGACTAAAACGTAGCCTAATCACCAAAAAATATTTGTCAATAAAAGTCTACTTAACCCTCCATTCCAAGCTCACTTGTCCAATTACACATATCCAGAGTCTTCATTCTTGTGGGGGTGCATGTGGGTCGTCGTGAAATCGTGCATAAAAGACAATCTAACTTTTAGGGGACTCAAGTGTAACAAGTGTACTTTGATCCTTAAAAAAAATCACGAACAAGTCTTCCCGTTGACACAATACACGTATTAATAAAGAAACCGGTTTTGCCATAACTATGACCTGCAAGTGACCACCAAGGCAAAGAAAGTTCTACAGCTCGTGGCAGTGACACCACCCATGTAAACGAGCTGGGGCTGCATGAGCAGACTCTAGGATGCTGAGGGTTGATGGAGAGAACAAAAGACGAGTGAGTACTTTCCGAGATTTACGTAAAGACGTCGAGCA